CCCCTCTCCCCTCTCCCCTCTCCCTCACTCTCAGCCACTCTCACTTTCACTCGTTCCGCTTTTGCCTGCTTTCTTCCACGTCCTCCTTGTGTTCGAACCCAGCTTCGCTTCCTCATTCCTTACTTCTATCTCTTCGATCCAGTGTGCACGCGTGGAGGTTGGGCCGCATGCTCTAGGAATGTGGTATGCGAGCGGATCGACGAAGCACGAGGAGTCGAGGTAGAGGAGGAGGAGAGTCAGCAAGGATCTTGATATGAGCCCAGGAGGAAGGAAGCCGACCTTCTCATCCCTACCGACTACGTCAAGGTGAGCTGCCCCCGCCGCTGAGGACAAGGAGGAGTGAAACAAGGGGAAGGAGGAGGAGAACAAGGGGAAGAGGAGAAGAAGGGTGGAGGAGGGTCAGTTGAAGGGATGCTGGGCACAGGAGTTCAGAAGGGTTGATGACTGGCAGCTGCAGGGGCTCTCCTCTCCCCTCCTCTTCCGTGTCACTCCAGCCGTCTGCACATGCTCGCGGCTAGCAAGCACATCCAGCTGGTCGGCTATCTCCTACTCCCTCCACCTATGGCGCTGAGAGTCCAACCAGCGTCACCTTGCTTGCTGTATCTTTCCTCTTGCTCATTCTGTTGACTTCATCCTCTACCTTCCGCTTCCCTTTACCATCATCACACTTCTCCCTCTCTTGGTGATCACCTCTTTTCCACGTGTATACTGTTTATTCTTTATCTTATTCATCTCAAAGTTTTCAAGATCTTTGATTCTTGTCATTATTTTCCCAACATGATGCACGCCCGTTACGGCACAACACTTCCAGCCTACTCTTCGTCCTTCGGGGTCTCCTTCCCGCACGAGGAAGCAGCCTCCTCCGGCCTGTCTGCGAGCTCCAACGAGAGGACCCCACCCCCCTGACAAGCGACAAAGTCTCGGAACTCTTCTTCTGTTGTCACGTCGATCATAGTGTTGTCATCGTCCTTGTACCTCAGCACGTAAGAGCTCCTCCCGAAGGTGTTCTGGCATCGCACGTTGAGGTCCTCCAACGACTTCACTCCTGTCCACTTCCTTGTGCTTCCGTTGTGTGTGATGCGAACTATCTCTCCTGTCGACACTGGCTCCGCCGCCCCGTTGCTGCCCGTAGATGCTACTTGGCTCGGCGCTTTTGCGCTGCTCGAGCTGGTCCTCTTCAAGATTTGAGCAGCCTCTTCCATCTCCTGCGTCTGCTGTTGTGTGGCCTTTTGACTTGACATCTTCCTAGCCTTTGTGAGCAGATCCAACAATAAGTCCTTTCGTCTATGCTGGACGCTGTCGTCTGTGAGTTGAGGTAGCCGACAAGATTTGTGACCGAGTTTTGGAGAGCGTTGCTCAGGTACTCATTTGCAGCGGCGCTCGAATGAATTCCAGCAAGCATGTTGCCTCCGACCCAGGGAACCATGTACGGATTCATCGCATTCATTGCAAAGGACGCTGGATGCTGCTCATGTACGATGGTGCTCACAGGCTGCTGAAAGTGTTGGGTATGATGCGGCATAGCGATCTGCTGCATGATGGCAGCAAGTGCAGCAGCCTTGTTGGAATTCGGCAATGTAGGGCTGTTGTCTTGGACACAAGGTGTTGCGTGAACCCGGACGGCCTTGCCCTCCATGAGATCTTTGAATGGATACGCATCAGCTACAAGAGCTTGCTGCCCTGCTTTGCTTAACTCCAGCAGCTCGTGCTGTAAGAATGTACGTTGATCCGCAGGGTCCTTATCTTTCCTCGACGATGAAGCAGTATTCAGCAAATCCTTGATTCCAGGAAGCTTTCCATCCGACGAAGGGCTCACTTGCACAACCTTCCTGCGTTTGATTCCCAGCGGCTTCGTCTCTTCCATGAACTGAGGTCGCTCAAGTCTCCTCTTGATCCCACAACAAACCAGCGCGCCGTCCCCGCTGCGCTTGCGCAGCGTGACTCCCTTGTGGGTTAGCCACTCCTTCAAGTTGTCAAGGCTGACCGATCTGTCCATCCTGCTGTACTGAAGAAGCACATCCCCGACGCTGTCACTGACGATGCCGGTGATTTCAAAGTTGCTGTCGAACCACGAGTCGAACCGGGAGAACTGAAACCTGTGGAGCTCCGCCTGCTTTTGCTGAATCATGCGGATGGAGGGATCTGCTGGCGCCTTGGGGCTGTGGCTCTCAGCATCGGACGACTTGATCTTGTTCTTCTCTTCATCTATCTCGATCAGCTGATTGTCGGAGTCGGTGTCACCATCACCATCTTCGTTTGCTGTGACTTTGGCGTAACCAGTGAGGGAGGAATTGCGTTTCTGTTGAAGCATAGGTTGCCAAATCCTCCTCCTCGCATTCACAAACCAGTAACTGACCTGAATGACAGAGTCAATCATATAACTTCAAAGCAAATGTCAAACCACCTGCGAGCTCGAGAGGCCAGTCTTTTGTGATAGCATTTCAACAACAACGTCCGAGGGATAAGGATGCATGATATGTTCCTGAAACCAGTTCCGAAGCTCATCTACGGTGTGCTTGGGGAAGTTTTTCTTTCTTTGCGCTGAGGTTTCATCATCGCCAACGTCTTTCAAGGTGTTTGTTCACAAGATGGCGTTGTCACAGTCAAATGTCGTGCTGATACCTAGTGCGAGGGATCTTTGTGAGCTCGTGAGGGACAGTCGTGAAGGGCGGCAGTGAGAGCAAGTTCAGACGAAGGGAGAAGATGGAGGAGGGCAGGAGGAAGAGGGAGAGGGACGGGAGGGGAGGCAGAAGGGGAGGGGAGGGGAGGAAGAGAAGCGGACAAGGAGGGTGCGGCGGGAAGGATGGAACAACCGAGAAACATCAAACTCAGGCGGGAAGGTACAAGGGGTGGGGTAGAAAATGCACCGCATGTTGTGGGTAGGGTTCATTTGTATTGACATGGGGGGTAGTCCTGAGCTAGGGTAGTCAAATGCTGAGATGTTAACTTGACATGAAATTTGCTGTAGTTTGACGATAAACGGAGGGGTGTGAGGAAAGGGGGGTGGTGGGGTGACTGGAAACAGGTGGGGTGGTAGTTGAAAGTACATGGTAGGGGGTAGTGCTGCGATCGATGACAACCACATGTGGGTGGGTTATTGACAAAACAAGGTGGGGGGTGGTATAGGTAGGGGTTGTCATACCTTTCTTGTAGCCAGTACCCCTACGAAGAGGTGCAATCTGAGAGGAAAGGTGGGGTACTCGCAGTACCTTTTGACGGGGATGTGACGCCGATTATTGCGATTCTCCCCCTCCCACCCTCAGATCGCTCACCACCTACCCATGCCTCACTATGTAAAAATATGTCGTCTGTAGGGGTTCATCAATGACCCTACCACCCTTTGTTGAACTGTACCCAAATGAGTGAAGGCTCAAGTGTCAAACTCAGAGGTCCCGAGGCCGCTACCGTAGGGCTTTCGTACCTTCCTAGGACCGGGTCCATGGAATGAAACTTCGGGCGGGCTGTACAGGACGTAGAAACAGGGACCCTGGAATCATAGGGGGTGGGGTAGAAAGTTATTCGAGGGTCAGGTCAATGTAGGGGGTGATGCAAGGGAAAATATGAGGTACCCTTCACAGAAGGTCACATCAAGTACAAGAATTTGCTAGAGGGGTGGGGGTAGTCACAGTTTAGCAGGGGATATGACAGCTCCTCACAAATGCAGGGGACGCTGACGCGAATGCGAAGATTGAAGGGGTCATGAGCAGGGGGGTGGGGGTAGTCGGTGGGTACAAGTCTAGATGGGGGTTGAAAGATCGTCCAGGGACGGGTAGTCAACTATTGAAAATGAAACTTTCTAGGAAGGGTTGTCTGTCCTAGGACAGGGTATTAGGAACAATTTTGAGGCATAGGAATCGCGTAGGGACACATTCGGGTCAAATTCGTTAACTGTGCAACCACCCACCCCACCCCTCTCCCCCTACAGCTACGGTACCCCTCACCCACCACCTTGGGTGGATGACGCTGATTTTGAAGAAAGAAAACACTACCCCACCCCCTTTAGCTATGGATGGAGAGAGCCTTTTTTTCAATGTCACGAGCTCCGTTACCACCCCCGCCTGGCCCCCTCACTTTGACCGTACTTGATAAGGGGTGACCCTGACATCCTAGGCTAGTATCTTCTTTTTCGTCTTTACTCAAAGTTAAGTTAAAATGAGTACGAGGACAAGACTACCCTACTACTGGTACCGCCTGACTACTTTTGCCCTTGAAACCCACCCCGTCAGACCCCCCCACCCGCACCTCACCCGCCCAGTCAACGAAAGAACAAGAGGATGGTGTCACACTGACGGGGGGTGGGGGGTAGGGGTCCTGGCAGGTCATGGTACATCGTCTTAAAACACTAGTAGCCATGACCCGCTCAAGTTCCGACGGTGTCCGTGACGGTCCTTGAAGGCTGCGACTCGACTCAGGGCCGAGTTTAACGGCTGACAGCGTATCGCGAATCCATGAGCGAACGAACGCTTTTTGACATACATAGATTTAACTTTTTTGCCAAAAATATCCCTTTCCCTGTCAAACAAGCATTGCTTCGATATATATCAACCTGACACGAACAATTCCATTTTGGAAACATTTTCCTTCAACAACGTTTCAAACCATTTCGTCATCCTGTTTTGACCTATATTTTTTTGGTACAAATTCAAATACATTAAAAAGCAGTTTTAATCTCATGGATACGGAGAATCGCGAACGTCGTTCGCGATTCTCTTTATTACAACACAGCTTTACCACACGATGATCAAGGCCTGCTTACATTTAATAAATGACATTGTAGATATATAAACCCACTTATTTCAAATTTACACACCGTTTGGAAATTGTATAATAGTTATAAACGTTTTACAATATTTCTAAAACGTTTCGTTGCGTTCGCAATATTTTCGCGATACGCTAACGGACGTTAGTCTCGGCCCAGAGTCTGTCGCCAGGCACACGGCCGGGCCGGACCGGCAGGCCGGGCCGCAGCTTTGCAGTGCCGAAGGCTTCGGAACCGTTGAACCAGGAACTTAGCTTCCGAGTTCCGGCGCTCGGAGCCTGGCTTGCCAGGGGCCCCGGGCCCGGCGCAGGCCGCCGGCCCGCCGGGGCACCGGCGGCACCGCAGACGCAGCCAGTGAACAGGCTCCCGACTCCGCCGAGTGTTCACGGTCAAGTAACTTCCGAACTTCAAGGCTTGGCTTCGGACTCACATGATTTGACAAGAACTCGGAAATCGGCCCCAAGAGATGATTGGAGTGAGTCGTCAAACATCACGAAGTTCTTGAGTTCTCACTGTTCGAATTGATATATGTACAAAATCATGGGCCGTCACTTATCCTCCGAGTCAGCTTACGGTAGTATCAAGCTCCGCGCCTCAACAAGGCTCTTTGTGCTCCCGCTGCGCCAGGATTGATCACAGAGCCACGTCCTTGAGACCAGAACCTGAAAGTTCTTCCTATGGGCATCTTTGGGCAGTCGTTCTCCTCAGAGGCTCCATACTCCTCACTGATGAGCTTGGTTGCTTGAGAAGTGACGATCTCACGGAGACGGGCTGTGAGCAGAAGCTCGGTCGTCTTGTTCAGCACAACATGCCGGCAGAACTCGTAAATGTCGTTGGGCTGCGCCTCCTTGAAAGCCTTGAGGTCAAAGTGCTCAATGGAGTCGACGATGACAGCCCCAGCTGAAGAGACCCCCTCGGGAACGAAGACGATCCCTGACGCCTCCACCTGCTCCTGAACCTCAACGGACCTGAAGGGAAGATTTGTCGCTCCGACAATGGCCTTGCAACCAAGCTCCTGCGCGATCTCCATCGAGATGAGGCCAGAGATCGAGCAGGGGACAAGAGCGTCGACCTTCATCTTCCAGAACTCTTCCACGTACTCTGGAGTTCCCTTAGAAATGTTGGTAGCGCCCTCGATATCAGCCTTAGCAGCTACCGCATCAATGGTATACACGCGCGCTCCAGATCGAACAAGCTCTCTAGCCACAGTCCCCCCAACAGACCCGCAGCCATGGACGAGAACTGTCTTGCCCTGCAGAAGTTGTGAGCATATGAACAAAACGGATTGTAAAGCAACGCACATTGAAACTTTCGAGGACACTCTCCACCGCACCAAGCACTCCAAACGCAGTCGCATCGTTAGGGTTCACAGACTCATTGGCGATGGCTGCAAGAACGTACGGGCAGTCTTTGGACAACAAGTCCATATCACTGGTTGTTGTGTTGAGATCGCAACCCGTGTACATGGTTCCGTTGAGCTCATGCAGCAACGCTGCTGTCGCTTTCATCAGCTCTTCCTTGTTCACTTTCAAGACTGACTTGTCCGCTCCTGAGGCATCGCAGACAATCTTTGCTCCAGCAAATCCAGTATTGTATGTAGCATGTTTGACCTCCATGCCTTGCGCGAGGCCGACAGCTTCTCGCTCTGCAGCTTGAGGGTCCGAGTACACCCAAATGCGGAAACCGCCGTTGCCAGGACGGTATCGCGAGATCTCAGCAGCTGCTCCGATCATCAAGTTAACGCCGAGGTTAGGGATCCATCGTTGGAGGACACGAGCAGAGTGCTGGAGGCCTTGGGGGAGGAGAGGAGCAATCATGGAAGCGCGAGCATCACTTGGTTCCAAACTGTGCCACGTAAGATCTTGTCCATGCTTGTTGGGATGCCACGAGACCTTGTCCACTCCTCTGATCGGATTTGAGAACCTGTTGTAGCCATTCTTGTGCTCCGTGGTCTGCATAGCTCGCTGGAGGTTGTACCAGGAGGGCAAACTCGCCTTTACACGATCCCTGCAATCACAACCTATGAGCGAAAGAAACGGAACGTTATCTGTCATCAGAAGCTCATCGAGCCTTCAGGGCATCAAACAAGAACTCGTAGTAGCATGTTCATCAAACATCAGGTACCTGGCGCTCCCGAATCGACCGAGGGATCCGAACGCTGTGCGACCATTGCTCCACGCTCTCTGCATGGTTTGCGAAACCTGCAAAGCTAGTCTCATTTACCCACCCTCTTTCATTTATACCACCCCCTATACCACCCCCCACTACCCCCAGCTTTCCCATCCCCTGCAAGAAAACCCACCCCGACCCTTTATCCCCAAGTTCGATGAAATCCGCCGGGTAATAAAGGCTTGCGACCACCTTCCATGAGGGTGGGGTAATTCTGGTAGAATCAGGGGTAATTGACCCAGGATGGTGGAGAGGGAGGGGTAGGGGTATGAGGGGGATCAGAACATTATAAGGTGGGAAACAAGAACACGGGGGAGGAGGGGGGGGGGGGCGACTAGCAGATTCTTGACAGCAATCACTCATTGAGGGGTGGGGTGGTCAAGGGGAGACGGGAGGGTGGATGAAACTTTTCGAAGGGGGGTAGGGGTGGGGGTTCTAAGTGTGGCAGCCTTTAAGCGTGCGCGAAGAGTCGTGATGTCATCAGTCACACGACCGCACGCGGCCTTCCGGATCCGATGAGATGGATCATGGTGATAGGGCCCGGCACTGACTCGACTCAAACTCACAGATCATCCGATCCGATCGGCGGACTCCGGCCCCGGTACGTCCCGAGTCCGGTCCGATCATCCGACCGGCAGATCCGGCCCGCCGATCCGGGACTGGGACGGGCCGGCCCTCGCGGCGGCTGAGTCCGGCGACGCACACTGAAACAGCAGTCGGCAGGATTGGGTTTGGTTCTCGCTGTCTTTCTCTTCTCGCCGTTTGGCCTGTGCGACAGCCTGTTAGGGTCAAGCCTCCTCGACTCAGGCTCCTGCCATGATTGTCCTCGTACTGATTTTTAACTTAAATTTGAGTAAATGAAACAGGCTGTGTCCGATCTGATCGGGTCACTGATCGGATGCGGCACTGCCGCGGCGGTCATGACTCTAGTGACTCACGGTGAACAGGCCGGGCGGTATCATATGGTACGGTTGGCTCGGACGGTTTCAAGTCAAGGCCGGCGCGCCCGCGGCTGTGACAGCGGCCGCCGCGCACCGTCCGCGGCAGAGCTCCTGTGACTCGCCCTATCGGTGGGCCGTAGCACGCCGGGGCCTCACCGGGCCCGGCCCGGACTGGCACCCCGGCCGCATCATAACCCCCGACCCGGATTGAAACTTTTCAAACAGTGATCAGGAAATCCGCATTACTCTGTAAAGTTAAGTTAAAAATCAGTTTGATTTCTCCGGCGGGCGAGCCGCGAGTCAGCGGCCCGGCGGCCGCGGCGAGCCTGACTCATGAGCAGCCCGGCGACCGGAGCAGGGCCCGGAGTCAGGCCCGGAGCAGGCAGACCATTTTGCAATTTAACAAGCTAGGCGGTGATCGTGCCGCAGTGCTGGGCCCGGAGCAGGGCCCGGAGTCTACACGGGGGGTCAGAGGAGGGATGAGGGATAATATGCGACTCATGCAAGAAAGGATTGCGATGAAGGGAGTGATGGTGATGGTGATGGTGATGGTGATGGTGAGCGGAGTAGACGGCTTCCAAGCTTCTTTGACCTTATCAGGACGAGGGAGCAGATTGTCGACAAACTCGCATCATGGGCTGCACAGAATGCCGCTGAAGCTACGGGGTCCGGCCGGGGCTGGCAAGAGGATTTCTTTGTGCCGAAAGGGAGGATCCTTTGCTCTCAAAGCTGTAGAGAGCGGAATGGAAGAGAAAGATATTAGCACGAACGAAGTTCAGTTCATAGACTCGTCAGAGCGATGTCTTGTAGTTCTGCCCATCGAGGAGGACGTGAAAAGCAGGAACATCGAATGCGAGGTATCTCGTGGGATCCTTTCCCTCTCCCCTCATCCTTGTGCAGATCACGAAGAACATCATCTTCCTCTCTGTCAACGGGAATCGGTTTGCTGAGCCTCGCTCCTCATCTGCAAGAGATCTGATTCTGTCGGGCAGCATCCTGGACGGAGAGATGTGGTCAAGTGTAAAACTGGACGACAGCTACTGGGAGATCGACGAGTATGGAGGATACGATCGCTGTATCGTCATCCGCCTGGTGAGCTGAGAGGAATGAACAAGGGAACCAGGGAGAAATGCAAGCAGCGAGCAGACAGGCAGGGAGAGTCGGAGTGGGGAGGCCGGGAGATCGAATAGCCGTATTGAAGGAGGAAAGAGGATGAGGAGGAAAGGATGGAAAGGAAGAGGAAGAGAAACAGGAGGGGGGAGAGCAGGAAGGTAGAAGAAGTGCCGGTATACTCATCATCCTTTGCAGGTAAAGTCACAACCAGGAGCATGGCCGCTCCTCCTGAAACAAGATTACGATCCCAACGCGGCCGACTGGGCGGACAGACAAGTCGTCAGCAGGAAGGAGGTCGTCGTGAGCAGATGTGGTGTGTCAGATCTGACCTGCTCAGCAGGTGAGCAAAGAGGACGTGGAGAAAGCGCTCCAGCTGCTCGTGGCACTGATGAAGCCCTCCTTGCTGGAATTGCCTGCAGTTGCGGTGAGGGTGGAAGCATGTGGAAGTTGAGTTGACAGACGGTGGGGACTGTAGGAAAAAGAGGAGGAGCGGGAGGGAACAGAGAACGAGGAGCTGGATGAGCCGAAGGTGGCTTGGAAGAATGCGGTGGATGAAACGATTGAGGAGGAGTGGGAAGACGCGGCGAGGTCGTACAGAGAGGCGCTGAGCAATGTGAGTCGACTTTTGTTGTTTGCTGCTCTCACAGTCTGACCGGGGGATCAGGGGGGAACTCCCGAGAATATCATGGAGATGTTGAAGTCAACACAGATGATGCTGACGGTGAGCGGAGGAGGAGGAGAGAGGGAGAGCAGCAGAAGGAAGCGGGAGGTGGAGAGGAGTCGCAGCAGCAGCAGAGGCAGAAAGAGCAGTTGAAGCAATTAGGGGATGATGATTATGCTATGGGGTGATGAGGACAAGTGGGAGATGGAGACAGAGAATGAGGAGGACTGGGAGAAGTAGGAGGAGGAGGAGGAAGAGGAGGACCAGTAGCACCAGCACCAGCACCAGCACCAGCAATAGCACCACCACCACCACCACCACCACCAGCACCAGCAGCAGTAGGAGGAACAGAAAGAGAAAGAGGAAGAGGAAGAGGAAGAGGGGGAGTGATTGGAGATGTAGGAAGAGGAGGTTGGGAGGAGAAGAGGTGGTAGAGGAGGAGAGATGTGCTAAACGTATTGATAGGGAATGTCTGAAACTTCGGCTGAGAGAGCCCCGATCGCGGGCATCGTATTTGTGCGGCACTCAGAGGTAAGGGCTCCCCGTGCGCGACCTGCCTCCTTATAGCATCAGCTTCTATAGCACCTGCTTCTTCTGTCTCCACCACCACCAACCACCACCACCATCACCTCCTCCTCCTCCTCCTCCTCCTCCTCCTCCTCCTCCTCCTCCTCCTTTTCCCTCTTCTGTTCACTATCTTCTCCTAGCGTGCTGCTGCTGCTGAAGCTCCTGCTGCTCGGAGCTCCCATCTCCTCCTCTTCCTCCTCTATCCCATTTCTCCTTCTTGTTGATCATCAACTCCAAGTTTCAACATTCTTTTTCCACTCAATCATTCTCTCAGGCCCTTCCCTTCCGATCGTTCATTGTTCGCCTCCTTCTTCCCCGCCTACTTCCCCGTCTTCTTTCTCTTCTCATCTTCCCTCTCCTCCTTCTCCTTC